TTGGATTGGGTTCCAGCGGCAGGAAAGAGGTTATGGTTCTCGGAGGCGGAGTGCCTGCAGGAGGATTGGACTGAAGCGGAAGTGAAGCGTGCTCTTCGGGAGATGGCCTGCAACAAATCCCCGGGGAAGGACGGGCTCCCGAAGGAGCTGTTTGAGCAGCACTGGGATGTGTTGGGGAAACACCTCATGGCTCTGGTGGAGAGCTTCACTGCCTCGGCATCGCTCCCGACCAGTGTCAAGGATGCGGTGACCATTCTCCTGCACAAGAAAGGAGCAAAAGAACAGTTGGAGAATTATCGGCCGATTACCCTGTTGAATTTCAGCTACAAGGTGCTGGCGCGGGTTCTGGCAAGCAGGATCAAGAAAGTGCTTCATAAAGTCATCTCGCAGGAGCAATTGGTTTCATACCGGGGAGGCGGGTCTCTGACGCAGTTGGGCTGGTTGTTGATGTCATTGACGCGGCCAAAAATGGCAAGGAGGACTGGTACATGTTGCTCGTTGATTCTAAAAAAGCTTTTGACTCGGTGTCCCGTGACTTCACTTTCGAGGTCCTCAGGAGGATGGGCTTCCCGGAGCGGTTTGTTGGCTGGGTGAAAGGGCTGCATGAAAACACGCGCACGAGCTTGTTAGTTAACGGATGGAAGGGGGAGGCAGTGGACGTGGTATCTAGGGTCAGGCAGGGGTGTCCCATTGCTCCTTACCTGTTCCTCTGTGCGGTGGAACCATTGGTGCAGAAGGTGGAGAAGAGGAAGCTCGGAATCACCCTCCGCAGCTGTGTTGGGCAGCGGCTTGCCTACATCGGGTATGCTGATGATACCACCCTCCTGCTTCAGGGAAAACAGCAAATTGTTAAGGCAGAGGAGGCACTGGAGGAGTTCAAAAGTATCTCGGAGCTGGCGACAAATAAAGAAAAGTCGGTGGTGCTCCCGCTGGGAGTCAATCTTGGTAAAACGACTTGGCGCACGGATGGCTTCAGATGGGCTGGCGCGGATGAGGCGGAGAAGCTTCTTGGTATCTGGGTTACGCCGAGCGGAAGCTGTCAGCCGACGTGGGATAAGGCCTTGGAGCGGATTGTGGGGAAGATGTCGCTGTGGCAGCCGCAGTATCTGCCGATCAAAGCGAGGAGAGCAGTGATGGATGGCTACATCCTACCGATCGCCTGGTCTCAAGCGCAGGTGTACCCGCCGCCTGCTCGGACCTGGGGGGTAATCATGAAGCTGTCACACACGTTCATGTCAGCCAACAAGGTCACTACGGAGAAGTGCTTCTTTCTATGGAGTAAGGAGTTGCTGTACACACCGGTGATGGAAGGGGGTGTGGGTGCGAAGGACCCGGAAGCCATGCTTACCTGCTTCACGGCCAGAAGGATCGGGTCGATACTCACTGAACCCAGCCAGTTAAAGCGGAACCTGATGCGCCAGGCGGCGGACCTGCCGCTGGGGCTTGACACGTTTCTGTCGCACGAGAAGCTCTTGGAATCATGGGAGGGAAAGAGCCAACGGTGGAAGCTGGCGTGCGAGAATTTCATACGCTCCCCTTTGGCGGCGACTGGAGCTGAGCGGAGCAAGGAGGAGGTGGCGCTGGAGAGAATCGTGTTTAACAGACACATTCTCAGGAAAGGGTCTACGACATTCGGGGGGCAGAAGGCAGCTAAGCAGCTGCGGGATGTCAGGCTAGGGGATCTGATCCGGAAAGATGAGGAGGGGAGGGGCACGCTGAAAGGCCTTGCCACTCTAGAGAGGGAGCTGCTGGGGAAGGATGCTGCAAAGCTAGCTCTTGAGGCGTTTGCAGCAGCACCGGAAGCCTGGAGGGGGCTGCTTCTCTCAGCCGAGCTTCCGCAGATGGGTTTTGCAGAGGTGTATGAGGCAGGAAGAGCGGGGTTAAAACAGCTTCGCGCAAAACTCCTGGTGAATGGTGAAGTTGCGCCGCTGAAAAGCCTCCGGTCCCGCTGGGGGCATGGTGGCAGTGGACAATCCAGGCAGAGCAAGTGGGAGACTAGATGGGGCGGCCGAATATATTGGAAGCGGGCAGTAAAAACTCGGGAATCGCTGGTCACCCCCAGCAGACCGAGGGATGTTCTGCTGAGAATTCACAGTCTGAACCTGCAAGTCGGTGAGAGGCTCCCGTTTCTCAGGAGCAGGCCGGTGTGTCCTTACTGTGGAAGTTTCGAAACGCTGGAGCACTGTTTCTTTGAGTGCCCAAGGATTCAAGTGGAGGTCGCAGTGGTGAAAAGAGCCCTGCGCATGATTAACCCCGCCAGGCGGGCGGAGTCGCTGGGTGACTGGTTGTTCGGGAAGGCAGGGTCCACGTCAGCATTCCCTGAGGCGACCTTGATATCCATCGCTTTGCATCAACTGTGGGCGGAGCGGTGTGAAGGTGCCTTCCGTGGCTGTAAATTCCGCACGAGGCGGGTGCTGCGGAGGATTGAAACGGCTCTGTGCGTGCATGTGAACATTTACGTGCGAGCCTCGGCGAGGAAGTTGCAGCAAAAGGGGAAGAAGCAGCAGGCCAGATGGCACGTGATGACAGATCAGGAGCAGCGCCTTCTGAACCGCATCAGGGTAGTGGAGGGTAAGAGCTGGCGGTGGCCGAACAGCTTCGCAGCAATTTGGGGCAAGCCACACAGGCCCCGGATCCACGTGTAAGGATCGGATTCTCTCTGAGGCAGGCCTTCCTGCTTCTCACGCACGGTTACGACTGTTTATGTGTTGTACGCTTTTTGTATCGGTGTATAGCTCATATAAGCAAAAAAAAAAAAAAAAAAAAAAAAAAAAAAAAAAAAAAAAAACCTACCAGTAAACGTGGGCGTCGAAGTCACTGGTTGTGAGGAAGACGGCACCTCCATGCGTGCGCGCACGTTGATGTTCCCCACGCCTCCCTGATCGACCGCGTGCGGATCGGCATCAGCCGTGTCGCGGTTGTGAGTTCCATGAACTGGAACCAGGGTGGCTTGACCACTGATCCATTACCAGAACCGCCGTCACCTCGGTGGAGCTGCTTCCACAGGCGCATCAAGTTGCGCCACTGCTTTTGCACTGCGTTGACGCCCCGGAACCATCCCGGGTTCTCTTCCTTGATGTGGGCTACAAGGCGCGCCCAGTACTGGGTCCCTTGCTTGCCCTTAAGTGGTTTCATCTCGTCCTTGGTGAACCAACGGGCGGCGGCGAAGATCGCGTTCTCCTTTTCGGACCACATGGTCTTGTCGCGTGGCGCGTCCACACGAGCCACAGCAGGAGCCTTCCCCTTGTCCTTGGCGCTGCTCGCGGCCCTGCTTGCAGTCTGGCGTGATGGCGGCTTCACGGGCTGCCCCTCCTCATCGGCGACGTCGTCATCATCCTCCTCGTATTCCTCTTCTTTGCCTTCGACATCACCGACCTCCTCTTCCTCATCGTCGTCGTCGGTGCCGTCTCCGTCGTCATGAAATTCGGAGTCATCCTCGTCCTCGTCGTCCTCCGTTTCGGCAGCCCGAGAAGTCGCCACACGCGCTGGTGGTCGGCACACTCGCGAAGGACCCGCCGCATGCATCTGCGAAGTTGTGCCTTCAGGCACCGCCGCGGCAGGCGGGACGTATGATGCGGGACGACGACCGTTCGCGATCTGGTCGTTTATCCAGCGGTTGTAAGGGATCTCGTTAAGGTCGGCAGGGCAGTCATCGCGGTCTGCGTTCTTACGCTTACGGACCATGGCGGAAACTGCTACTTCGTCCTAGCAGAGAAAATCGGGAGGTGCAATTGTGACTCGGGACACGTGCTTGCAGTTTGTATAGGGGGAGTGGTTCGCAACCCTAGGCAGCCAGACTTGGGGTGGGGAAGGGGAGCGTGCATATCGTTTTGGCGGGAAAATAATGTGCTGGATCTGTGGTCTCTGAATGCCTCGTTTTCGTGCAGGATGGGCAGCAAGGACAAGTGTTTTTGGGGTCCCACGTGTAGTTCAGACTGGGGGCAGTGTCTAGGTTCACGACGCATTGACGTGACATTTCGAGCCGCAACATCCGTTGTGCGATTTTGTGCCAGCATGCAATGCAACTCGCTGGCGACAGAACCGTGATTGGCGCTGGCCAATGTAAAATACAGCACACGTCGCACGTGCGCGCTCTGTCATTCGGACATCTGACAGCATATGCTGGATTTGCGCGTCACAAACGCTTGTGACGCGTACTTTTGGGACATGTCACGTCCCGAATGTTCCCTGAGATGTCAATTACTTGGCCGAGATTAACGAACTTCGAGAATTTTTTAACGAATGTCATCAGCTGGGTACTTTCGCACAAACCAGTGAGGGTACGTTCCTGGCTCGTGTCATACTTCCGGTCTTCCGGAGATGACACGAAGCTGCCCCACAGTTGGCCCCACTTTGGGTCATCCGAGACCCACTTCGGGTCTTCCGGCTAAAATTTGCCCCTGGTCTCGGAAAACACGAAGTTTGACACGAGCCAAGAACGTACCCTGAGACGGATTTTGTTGATTTCGAATTCTACTCGCCACAATCCTTTTTTTGGCTCGAGAAAGTGCAATCGTAACAAGTATAGTGAACTCAATTTCACTGTTTGTAGAACAATCGCAGTTGTTCCAACTTCGTTATCAGGACGAAGCTCGCCTGCACAAAAACCCGAACAAAAACTGGTGCATATTTTAGGGTTCCGCTGTCATCCTTCGTTTTCATCCACCAAGTGCCGTGTGCCTCAGTTACCTAGCTAAGTTTTGCAAGACGTTCCCGTAGTGGAGTCAAGTAGTCGTCAGGTTCAACATTCATCATGGTAAACAGTCGCCTCGCGGTTCAACTTGACTCGTTTTCGGAAATTACGCGCGCTTTGATTCTCACTTTGTTGTTACTCCTTAACGTTAACTCGTGCACCCTTGTTTCCGCCCCCCTCCGCTCGTTGCTGCAGTCGACGCTAGCAGCCGCGCGGGCCGACAACTTTTACTACCCGCCGGAATGGACGCCGGAGCAGGTACGTGCTCCCGCCGCTGCTCCCTCTACATTATTCACGGCGTGTGGCCATGCTCTCACGTTCCCCTTCATCCATCTCCAATTCTGCATTTCCGTGTGATCTTCCTTGTTTCTCCGTTCGTTCCCCCTCCACTGCCGTCCATCCGTCGTGTTCTTTTCTCGCCGCTCGTCCTCCCTGTCCCCACCCCCCTCCCTTGATCGCGCGCGCGCAAGGAAACGGTGTAATGTTCGGCTCCGCCATCCGCGCGTCGGCACGTCACGGCGTCACTGCCTCTCCGTGTGCTTCCCCTCGCGCATGTTATGCTGTGGTATGAGGTGGCGTGGCGTGATGTCTGTGTCATGACGTGGCGTGATGTGACGTGGCGTGGCATGGCGCGGTGGTGTGGCAGGGCTCGCTGAACAAGTTTCAGGGACAGCACCCGCTGAGAGAACGAGCGAAGAAGCTGGGCGATGGCATTCTCGTCATCAGGTGCACACCACCGCGCTCACCTCACCTCATCTTTCCCACCACACCCCACCCCACACCCACACCTCACCATGTGCTCTTGTGCCGTCACCTCGATTTACGGTACTCTTCATTAATCTCCCCCAACACCACCCTACTTCTTTGTCCCCTGCTCACTCAATCCTCTCGCTTTCTCCCCATGCGGTTGGTCGCATTACCGCCGCCATCCTCTCGTGCTCCATACCGCATCCGCCAGTAGTACCGCATCCGCCAGTAGTACCTCATCCGCCAGTAGTACCTCATCCGCCAGTAGTACCCCATCCGCCAGTAGTACCTCATCCGCCAGTAGTACCTCATCCGCCAGTAGTACCTCATCCGCCAGTAGTACCTCATCCGCCAGTAGTACCTCATCCGCCAGTAGTACCGCATCCGCCAGTAGTACCTCAGCACACAACAAGCCATGCACGCATGCATACCCCTCTGCTGCCGCACTCATGTTACGCTGATTTTCCCGCATTCCCTGTCCCGTGGCACCACCAACACCATGTGTCCCCGGCGGGCAGGTTTGAGATGCCGTTCCACGTGTGGTGTGGCGGGTGCAAGAGCATGATCGCCAAGGGCGTGCGGTTCAACGCGGAGAAGAAGCACATCGCCAACTACCTCTCCACCAAGGTGCTCTTCCTCCCAACGCTCATACCTCCAGGCTCCAGCACTCATTTTCCTCCATGGCATTCCGCTTGCTTGCGTGCTGCACCAGCTGCGCGCCCTGCCATGAGTCATGACCATGTCCCCACTGCTCTGCGCCCTGCCCATCACCTTTTAACTCCGCCCTGCCGCCCGTTGCCGGCCGCCCTGTGTGGTGCAGATATGGAGTTTCAAGATGCGGGCGGCGTGCTGCCAGCACGAGATAGAGATCCACACGGACCCCAAGAACTGCGACTACCTCGTCGTCAGTCACTCCATACCTACCTCCAACCATTCCCTCTCTCCTCTTCTTACTTGCCCTCTCCCCTCCTCCTGCTGCCCTATCTCGTGTGCTCCTTGCTTACCTCCTTGATGGCTTTCCTTGTGGTTCGTTATATTCACCCCCATGCCCCACACCTCCCGCCGCCCTGCCCTTACCACTCCCATGACCCGTCTTGCCTCCAAGCATCGCCTATCTCGTGTGCTCCTTACTTGCCTCCACAATGGTATCACTTGTGGTTTCTCTCCATCTAACCCCAATGCTCCACCTTTTGCTGCCCCCTCCTTCCCACTCCCGTCTTTCTGTCTCTCCTTCCCCCCTCTCTATATCTCGCCCTTACATGCGTGCTAACACACACACTCTCACGCGCTTCCCAACCTCCTCCTCCTCCCCCCTCCCCCCCCCCCCCCCCCCCCCCCCCCGTCCTCTCGGCCCCCCATGCACACTCACTTGTGTATGTGCAGGTGAGTGGAGCGGAGCGCAAGGTGGTGGAGTACGATGCAGAGGATGCCGGCACTGTGGAGCTGCCCTCCAAAGAGGGTAGGAGGGGTGGTTCGGGTGGGGTGGGGGATGGGGGGGTGGGGGAGGGGGTGGCACTTGCACCACCTCTGCCGCCTTGTCCACACCACTTACCCACTACTCACTGCCCATTCACGCCTCACCACTTCATTCCGCGCACCCTCCATCCTTTTTTTACTGGCCCCCATAATTTTTTTTTGGTGTTGTCGCTCACCCTTTCGACCTCAGCATTCCCATACTACCCGCATCCCTCCCTTCCTTTCCATCTTTCTCCCTCTCTCTCCCTCCCTCTACCTCCCTCTCCCTTCCTCCCCCTCTCTCTCCCCCTCTCTCCCTCTCTCTCCCTCTCTCTCCCCTCTCTCCCTCCCCCATCCTTCCCTCTTGTTCTCTCTCCCTCGCTCTTCGTCTCTCTCCGTCTCTCTCCCTCCTGCTCCCCCTCTCTCCCTCCCTCTCCCTCTCTCCCTCCCTCTCCCCCTCTCTCCCCCTTTCCATCTCGCTTTCCATAGTTCTTCCTCTCTCTCCCTCTCTCTCCCCCTCTTCATATCTCTCCCTTTATCTCCGCCTCTCCCCCTCTCTCCCCCTATCGCCCTCTCTCCCTTTATCTCCCTCTCTCTCTCCCCGTCTCTCTCCATCCCACCCCCTTCGTTGCCTGGACTGTCCAGAGCGAGAGCAGCTGTTGGATCCGCTGGTGCGATTGGAGCATGGGGGGCGCGACCGCAAGAGGGCGGCAGCAGCTGCGCCCACTCTAGCGGCCGTGAAGGCTGCTGCGGACACCAAGCATGCCGACCCCTTCCGCCTCAACCGTGTGCTGCGCTCCCACCTCCGGGTATGCACCCACGGGTGGGGTGGGGTGGGCATGGGAGGGGCGGGGGAAGGGGTTGGAGAGGGGGACTTTGGGGGCAGGGAAGTGGGGGGGAGGGGGTTTGTTGGTGAAGAGTCAAATCAATTCTAATCTGTAGTATTTGACATGGTTGGATGGATGTACGTCCAGCATTGTTCATCTGGCGTTTGCCATCTGGCGTTTCCCTCCCACACCTCTGCTGTTCCCAAGTCTCCGTGATGACTCTGATGATTTATCACTCGCACCTCGCCCTGGCATTCCATGTCTCGCCAATCCCATTCTGCGGCCATCAGGAGCGCAAGAAGCGGGTGGCAGAGGAGGAGGCAGAGGCACGCAGCAGGGGGCTGGCGATCCGGCTGCTGCCGCCCTCACAGGCGGACAGTGCAGCAGCTGCAGCAGCGCCCTTTGCCCACCGCTTTGACCACAACCGCGCGGAGAAGCGCACCGCCATTCGCAGCGCCTCCATCTTCACCCCCTCTGCTGCTCCCCCTGCCACTCCTGCTTCCGCTGCTGCTGCTGGCAGCTCGTCACACAAACGGCATAAACCAGAGGGAAAGCAACAACTTACCCTGACACACAAGAGCAGCAGCAGCAGCAAGATCAGCAGTAGAAGCAGCGGCGGGGAGAAGAAGGCAGATGTGGCAAAGAGGGCGGAGCTTTTGGCGAAGAGGCGGCGGATAGATGTGCAGGGAGTGCTGGCACTGACACGCGGGCAGCTGTGACACCTGGCACTGATAATCACCTGGCAGGAGACAGCACGGGCAGGCCGCTGCTCATTTGTACATAGCCCTCATCCCCCTCCTCATCCCCCTTCCCCTCTCCCTCTCCCCCAGCCCCTTTTTCCTGTCTGTTTCAAAGGGTTTGCGTAGTGTGCTTGTTGCGAGTGAGGTGATACCATGCAGAGGCTTGTTGTGAGAGTGTAACTTGTGTAGCACATGTGCCAACGTCGGAATTCATGGGCCATGAGTGGTGGGTTGTGAACAGGCAATAGACAGAGAGTGAGTGGCATCACTCGGCACATCCAATCCAAACCACAAGAAATGAGACACGAGCCAGGGTCGGGGGAGACTGGAATGGGGTTGGGAAACAGGAGACGGGGGGTGAGGAAAGGATATTGGAGAAGTAGAGACATAAATGCGGGATGCAGGCCCAAGAATATCAGGGTAAATTACCCTGATTGCCCTGACTGGCAGCCGCTTTTTTTTTGTTTACCCTGACCCAGTCAGCCTCCCAGGCTTTTAACCTGACTCATAATGTGTTGGTTTTTTCTTACCCTTATGAAATCCGATTTAGCGTGTTTTTCCCGACATCATCAGTGTTCCTCCCTAGTGTCAAATGTTATTATGTGTTATAGGCTGCAGTGAGGTGCTCCTTAGTGAGTACAACTCAGTTAGGGTTTCATATTTGTACTGCCTTGCTTTCATAGTCACACATTCCATTGCATTCTATTTCTGAGATGGTATCACGAGTAGGTTTAGAATCCTTGCCTAGCCTAGCCTAGCTCGCGCCCTCGAGCCCTCCGCGCCCTAGCGCGCCTCCGCGCCTTACGCGCCCTCCGTCACGCGCCCAAGCGCCCTCCGCGCCCTAGCGCCCTCCGCGCCCCTAGCGCCCTCCGCGCCCTCCGTATCGCGCCCTCCGTAACGCGCCCTCCGCGCCCTCCGTAACGCGCCCTCCGCGCCTCCGCGCCTAGCCCTCCCCTACGCGCCCTCCACGCCCTCCGTATCGCGCCTCCGCCCCAGCCCGTCGCGTAGCCCGTGCTCCCTGCCCCAGCCCGTCGCGTCGCCCGTGCGCCCTGCCTCAGCCCGTCTCGTCGCCCGTGCAGAGCAACGCGCGCCCCTGCAGTGCAGCGCGCGCCCACGTACAGGGCAGCGCGCGCCCTAGCAGAGCAGCGCGCCACCCGGGCATAGCAGCGCGCGCCCCTGCCCAGGAACGCGCACCCCAGCCAGGAACGCGCGCCCCTGGCCAGACATGCGCGCCCCATCCAGAAACGCGCCTCACGTACCTTCCTAGCCGCCCACACCTCCTCCTAACCGCCCAAACCTCCTCCTAACCGCCCACACCTTCTCCTAGCCGCCCACATCTCCTCCTAGCCGCCCACACCTCCTCCTAGCCGCCCACACCTCCTTCTAGCCGCCCACACCTCCTCCCGCACTAGGCACGTGGTTCCTTCCCCCCTCCACCGCCCTGTTCCCCGGGCCCAAACCGTTCCTACTGCTATTGGCTTTCCGGTCAGCGGCTGGCAGCCGCTTCATTCTCCGGTCACTCGATTTCGACCCGGGTCGCACCTAGCTCCTAGCCTCTAGCCCCTAGCCCGGTTTCCTCCGTACCTTTCGCCTAGTCTCCACTGGCGCTCCTAGGACTCCTAGTTTCACCTCCTCCGTCGCTAGCTGTTCTCCTTCCTCGCTCCTAGCTCCGCCTGCTCCGTACTCCAGCCGCCGCTAGCCTAGCCTCCACTATGGACTCCTCCCGCCGCCTTCGCTTCGATGCGGAGGGACGTCCGATAGAGTTCGGCACCTGGCTCCGCCAGACTCAGCGCTACCTCACCAGTCAGCGCCAAGACGGCGCCACCTTGTACGCCCACGCGTCCGGCGCCCTCCAGGCACCCCGGCGTCCCGAGCCCCTACCTGCCGCGCCCCCCCCGACTCCGGAGGCGCAGGCGGACTACGATCGTCTCGTCTTGGCGCGGGACGTTTGGGACTCCCGTGACGCTGCGGCTGCACTCGCGCTGACAGAGCTCCTTCCACCGACTGAGGCCGCTCACTTCGACCTGGTAGAGACTGCGAAGGGGGTTTATGATGCTATTTCTGCACGCTATTCCACCCTTTCCTCTGCCTCCCTCAGCCGCATCCTCATGCCGTTCGTGTTTCCCGGCCTCGGCTCGTTTGCGACTGTCTCCGACCTAGCCACTCACTTCCGTTCCCTTGTCGCTAGCTACCGTGCAGCTTGCACTGAGGCTCAGCTTCTTGTTGCTCCCCCTCCTATCTGGCTCACCGTCCACTGGGTAGTCACTCGTCTCCCTGACCGCCTCTCCACTGCCCGTGACGCACTTCTCCAGCAGCACCCCAGTGAGCTTACGATTGATCTTTTCGAGACCACTCTCGGGAAGATCGAGAGTAACCTCCTCTCTGTTGCCTCGGCCACTGACGCAGTCGCTCCCCGTCTGTTTGAGGGGTGTGCTGTCCCCCAGCTTCCCACCTTCACTGCTACTCGTGCCTCTGCTGCTGTGTCGGTCTCTGAGGACACTGACGCTGTTTCTGCCGCTAACTGGCGGAAACGGGGCAAGGGAGGCAAGAAAGGGGGGAAGGGGGGTGGCGGCGGTGGAGGAGGTGGCGGTGGTGGCGGTGGCACTGGGGGCGGCAGTGGTGGCGGCGGCGGTGGTACACCAGGCGGAGGGAGCCCTGGAGGAGGTGCTGGCTCACCTGCTGGAGGAGGTTCGACCAGCGGTGGTGCGGGGCCCCAGCAGCAGCAGCCACAGCAGAGCCAGCAGCAGCAGCAGGGACAGCAGCAGCAGCAGGCACCACAGCGGTTTCAGTCGTGGGGACCCCCGCTGCAGTGGGGTCCGCAGCAGCACTAGGGCCCTCCGCCACAGTGGGGACCTGGAGGACCCGGGAGCACTGGCCGCAGCAGCAGCACTACCAGCTGGGCCCCGCGCCCCCCGCGGCGCGACACCGGCCCCTGCGACCACTGGTGCGTCACCGGACCGGGCAGTCCCTGTGTCTGCGGCCGCGATGACCACTCTGCAGCGCGGTGCTTCCGCCGCCGACCTCTACCGTGCACGCTGGGGTCCTGAGGCGACCACCCCGCGCTGGGCTCGCCTACTAGCCCGTAAGATTCCTGTATTTGAACTGTCTATGGACGATGCTCGTGAGTATGCTTTGTTGGCTGATGTTGACTATAGTGCTGATGGATCAGTATGCTCGCGTATTCGTAGTCTAGGATGCTTGCCTCCTGTTGGTGTAGACCTGTGCCTTTCTAGTCTAGGTGCTTGTGTTTCTGCTCTAGGTGCTTGTGTAGCTTCCGGACCTGGCACGCCTCTGGCTGAGGCGTCCCTGTCTTTCACGCTGGACTCTGGTGCGTCGCAGTGTTCGCGACCACACGACCCTCACACCACTCCTTGCTCCGGTTCTGGTAGCTCTGGCTGATCCTTCTTCAGGGTCAGCTGTTGCGCGCAGCTCCACCACCCTCCCGTGCCCTATGGTCCCCTCTGGTGTCCTACGTGGCCTCCACATCCCCTCGTTCACTCGGAACTTGGTGGGTGTTAAATACCTCCAGGACAGGGGGATCACCGTTACTTTTGTGGGGGGTGGGAGGATTGCGGTCTGTACAGACGCTGCTACAGGTGCTATTCTGGCCACGTTCACCAGGGAGCCCCGCTCCGGTCTCTACGTTCTCCACACCGAGCGCTCCCCGGTTGCTTCCTCCGCTCAGGTCGATGCGTCCCCTCTGGTCTCGGTGTCTAGTACGGTTGCTGTGTCTAGTCAGGTAGTGGTGTCTGGTCAGGTTGCTGCGTCTTGCTCCTGTCAGTCCCTAGCCCACCCGACCGTCTTGTGGCACCACCGCATTGGCCACCCGTCGCTCCCGCGCCTCCGCAGCATGGCCCGTCACAGTTGTCTCAGGTCTCCCTCGCTTGCTCCACCTTGCACTCCTTGCGTCGCCGGCCGCCTGCGCGCCACTCCGCACTCCTCCTCCCTTCGTCCGGCCACTGCTCCCTTCCAGACTCTCCACTTGGACGTCTGGGGCCCTGCCCCTACGCTGGGACCTGAGAGGGAGCGCTACTTTCTAGTGGTCGTTGACGACTACTCCAGGTACACCACGGTGTTTCCTCTCGCAAAGAAGTCCGAGGTGACTTCTACGCTGATCCGATGGCTTCTGGCCACTGAGGACACTCGTGGTAGTCGTCTCCGTTGTCTCCACTCCGACCGTGGGGGTGAGTTTCGCTCCGGCGTCCTTGCCGGGTTCTGCGGCGAGCAGGGCATCAGACAGTCCTGGACGCTGCCGGAGTCCCCACAGCAGAATGGGGTTGCTGAGCGCCGCATTGGCTTGGTCATGGACATCGCCCGCACGTCCATGATCCATGCCAGTGCGCCCCATTTTCTGTGGCCCTACGCGCTTCGCTACGCCACGCACCAGCTGAACCTCCAGCCGCGTGTCTCGCGGCCAGAGGTTTCACCGACCTGTCTTTGGACCGGGTCCCCTGGTGTTGGGTCGGCCTTTCATGACTGGGGCTGCCTTGCGCTTGTCCGCGACACCTCTGCGGACAAGCTCTCGGCTCGCGCCATCCCCTGTGTCTTCCTTGGTTTCCCGGTGGGCTCTCCCGACTACTCCTTTTACCACCCGCCCCTCCACCAGTTCCTAGACTCTCGTGACGTCCGGTTTGACGAGTCAGTGTCCTACTACACTCGCTACCCCTGTCGAGGTCTCCCGGTTCCCCCTCCCCCCCTCTTCATCGCACCCTCTCCTCCCCCTGCTCCCGCTCCTCCGGTCCCCCCGCCCCCCCCTGGTCCTGCCCCGTCAGGTGTGTCTCACGCTACCTCTACCCTCGGTCGCGTGTCAGGTAGTGTCTCCCTCCCCGCAGTCCTCCTCACAGTCCCCTCAGCAGCCTTCGGCACTTCCGCGACAGGTTACTGTGGACTCGGTTGGTGTTGGAGCTGGAGGTACTGCCACTGGCGGTACTCGGTCTGGGGGCGCTCGTTCGAGAGGTGTTGGAGGTGGAGGTGCTGGC